GTAGCCCCATATATCTAGTTTTCAAAACTGTATAAACTTTGAAAAAGTAAGCTAACGTAATTGAGTTATGTTGATTTTAGTAGGTCGTTGAGTATTTGGCCAAAAACTAATAATTCTTTTAAAAATACGAAAACATAGTTTTAAAAATAGTTTTTTGGTGTTTTCTTATGAAAAATAACAATTTAAATGATTTTGTGAAGAAAATTTTTCAAAAACTTCAAAATCTTTCGAGATATAGGGGGTATGTGCTCTCCATCGATTTGGCCATTTGTCACCCTACTTAAACCACTATAACTTTTTTTTGAAAAAATATTTTTTAATTCTGTTTTCGGATTATTGTAGCCTAATGTAATACCTATCCAACGATATATAATACTTGCTAGTTAACTTAGTCCTGGTTATTTATAGGGCTGTTGATTGTGACATACGCAGTTTTTGAAATATTCCCAAAAATTGCATTTTCAAAAATACCACTTTTAAGCAATCTCGAGTATTTTTTTAGAACTTTTTTATGTTTATTTATGACATTTATGAGATTATAAAGCCAAAAAATTAAATTTAGAAACTTTTTACTTCCCTAGTTAACAACTTTGTAAAGTACCCTTGGTAGTCACTATCAGGTGTGAAAATCTCAGTTTTGAAACTATTTTATATATATACTCGTGAAATTCTCTCTACACATCATATCAGTTTTGAACTTCATTGAACAAGTCACTTTCAAAAATGAACCAAAATTCAACACTTACGAAGAAAACACTCTGTGAAATTCTTCGCGACAAAACGTTAAATCTTGCAACACAGCACACGTACTGTTTGGCAGTAATAGAAGAAATTCATGGGAGAGAATTAGCGGAATCACAGAAACCAAGTTTAATTAATAAATTAAACAAGCTGAAGTCAAAGTCAAAAATGTTTTGTAATCAGTCAAATTGGAATAATGCATTAAGAGATCATGCAGATTTCTATGAAGAGGAATTTGAAGTTGACTCACGATACTTCAGCGAATCTAGTGGAGGGATTCTTTTTGAGGAAGAATCTATATATGAAGCAGAAAATGTTACTGACACAGATGAAGATATGGATGAGATTGAATACATCGTCCATGACATAGAGCCTTCATCCAGCAAGGGCATCAAGAGGAAATCATTTGAACAACTAACAAGCGATAAGCATCGACGTAGAAGAGTGGACGAATTAGATATCAGTTTAAAAGAAGCAAAAGGATCATTGTTATCAGTTCTTCACTTGGCACTTCGCCTTTCTAAAGAAGAAGGAAAAGTAGAAGGAGCTAAAATGTTAAAAGAATTTATTAAGGCGTGCCAAAAAGGAGAGGATCTTCCAGAAAAAACTACATCAAAACCTAAACAACTAGATATACATGTAGCTCTAGGTGTAAAAGCCTTTAACAATTTATCTCGAAATCAGTACAACAATATTCGACAAGTCCTGAAACTGGAATGCGAAAACGTTTTACCGACAGCTAAAAAATTGTTGAGGTTAGAGAAACAATGCTATCCTGATGACATAACGGTCACCGATACAAGAGCCGTTATTCCACTAAAAAATTTGACACAACTCACCACAAAAAGAGTTATTGAAGCACACAATTCAGAAATATACGACAAAATCAAAATATTACCTTCAGAATCAACTCCAAAAGTTATTCATGCAGAAATGATCGTCACATGGGGGATGGACGGAACAACAGGACAGTCACAGTATAACCAAGGAAAAACAAATTCAAGAAATCAAGAACGAGATAGAACACAACCGAATCAAACGACTAATAATGAAATTATAGAAGACAAATCACTATTGACAGTTAGTATGAGTGTTCAGCAACTACGACATGAAGACGAAAACGGAAATTATATCTGCTTATGGGACAACGAAAACAGTCAATCTGTATACTCAGTACGACCAATACAACTTGAACATGCCAAAGAAACCAGAGTAAATGTTAGAAGGATATATGAAGATATAAAAAATCAAATATCAAAACTTGAACCACAGAGATTCATAGACAAGACCATGAATATTCTGAAGAAGCAAACAACGAATGAATAAATAAATTTCATTAAATATGATAAAAAAATGTAAATTAAATTTCTTGACAAATAAACAAAATTTCATTAAACTAAAAATTAAACTTTATTAATTTTACCTATTATAGTTGCGTATCAGAGTATTTTTTTTATTACTCTAATGATAATAGCTTTTTTCAGACTTAACATTTCTTAAAAAAGTCCAAAAAATACTCGAGATTGCTTAAAAGTGGTATTTTTGAAAATGCAATTTTTGGGAATATTTCAAAAACTGCGTATGTCACAATCAACAGCCCTATAAATAACCAGGACTAAGTTAACTAGCAAGTATTATATATCGTTGGATAGGTATTACATTAGGCTACAATAATCCGAAAACAGAATTAAAAAATATTTTTTCAAAAAAAAGTTATAGTGGTTTAAGTAGGGTGACAAATGGCCAAATCGATGGAGAGCACATACCCCCTATATCTCGAAAGATTTTGAAGTTTTTGAAAAATTTTCTTCACAAAATCATTTAAATTGTTATTTTTCATAAGAAAACACCAAAAAACTATTTTTAAAACTATGTTTTCGTATTTTTAAAAGAATTATTAGTTTTTGGCCAAATACTCAACGACCTACTAAAATCAACATAACTCAATTACGTTAGCTTACTTTTTCAAAGTTTATACAGTTTTGAAAACTAGATATATGGGGCTACAAAACTGCGTTTTTACTTGCCTGGAAACTCTTCATTTATGATAGTTGCGGCTTGTTTGAAGATAATTTTCCTGAAATTTTCACATATGTTCTACCATAATGGCACGAAAACATTCAGAACCTAAACTTTGTTATATGTCAAAATAAAGCTCTTATATACTACTAATAGGAACTGAAAACCGTTTTGCAATATCTTAAACCAGTTAAGATATTTCCCGGTTCAAACATGGTATGAAAAAACCAGAATTTTCACTAGTTTTCAACTTCAAACAGCTCTAGAATCGCGAAATCAGCACCAAATGACCTGAAATTTGGCATTTCTATCTACTTTTATGTCCTCTACAAGAAAAAATCACCCAAAAAGTGTAAATCGGAAAAGTCCATTTTTCAAAGTGAAAGTCCCTTTTTTTTCATTTTGTCCCATAGTGCATTTACGAATATAAAATAAAAAGACCACAGCATCGTTTTAATAATTCTTAAAAAATTGTAGTTATATTTAGGAACAGATTTTCAAAAATAATATTTTAAACCCCCCAGGAGTGAGCGCTTTACTTCTGTTTATCGATTCAGTATTCATTTAGAAATTGTTTGAGTAAGTGTTAGAATTAATATTATATAAATTAAGCATTCTGATAAACTTTTGAATAAAGTGAAATAATTAAAATATAATGCCAACAGTAATTGATATGTCAAAAGAGCAAGTGCATCGTAACAGAAAAAATCGTAATGGCATACAAATTGGATGTTTTCGGTTTTGTACATGTATACATCTTGGATTTCTATCATCAAGAAGTGGCATGTTAAAGTTATTCGAATTACTTTTAGCGAGTTGCTGTGAAACATTATTAATAAATTTTGGCATGAGAGAATTATCTGTAACTGCATTTCACAGCTTTTTGACAACCGTTTCTGCGTGCCTATCAACAACATTCATTTTATGTCTGTGTTATACTCTCTCATCCAGAAGCTATTGTTTAATTAGACAATCACTTTTTGTAAGTTCATTAATCAAATTTTTTTTTATTTATTTGTGATAATCTTTGACATTTAACATGTAAATGTTGACAGACGTTTATTAGTATATGATTTAAAATTTGTTACTGTGGCTTGTTATAGGAAATTATATTTAATGGATTAGCTTGCTTTTCATTCGGAAGCGCCGCTTTGTACATGGGATTTATATCAAAATTACCAAGCTATAGAAACATCTTACTTTTTACAATTAACAATACCAATCCAGCACTTACTTCCATTTATGTATGTAATTAATAAATAATTATGATTTTAATAGATTATTTTAAGCAAAGTTTTAATATTTATTTTCAGTATGTTGGAACGCTTCTTGCTGTAGTTTATTTTGCTGATACTGTGGTTGCTTACAAACATTATCGTGATTTTAAGGATTAATAATATACAAGTATATTTGTTTTAAAAAAGATAAGCTTAATTATTAATTATGAAGTTCGATTTCAATAAAATATTTAAAAGCCAAAAATAATCTACAATTTAATGCAGTATTTTTTGGGGTACTTTTTCATTAGACAGGTAAAATTGAAACTTTGGACATGTACAGTTACAGGTTAGAATGCACAGGATTTTCCATAACTGAAAAAAATGGAAGGTCGACCTTAAATAATTTTGATGAAGTTTAGGTACGTGATGAATAACTTTAAAGACATAAATCATTAATTGAAAACAAAAATAACAAAATAACACTGGAAGTGCCATAACTCCAAAACTATAGGTAAGACTAAAATAATTCCATCAGCTTTACGCTGCTGAGAAAAAGTTGATATGTTTTGATAAATAACATGATAGTGTTTCGATAGAAAAAATATTTATCTACAAGTAGTACTGTCCGAAATTTTACCAGTCCATATTCCCGTTATTACAGGCAATTTCAAAAAAAAAATTGGGGATAAAATTGAACGTATTTAGGAGATCAGTTTTGATACATAATATGTATAATTAAGTTTAATTCCGTAATTAGTCTGAAAGTGGCATGCAAATGCACGTAATAGGAACGTAATTCTGACAAAGTTGCATCTCGATCTTAGGACCTGTTCCCGCTAACTTTAAGCACACAAGAGGGGTAAAAGAAGTACAGAAAGTACAACAAAGTGTAGCGTGTGTGTTATAATTGAGCATTGTGGTGCTGCAAGTGTATTATAGTCCTTGCACCGACAAGGCTTTAAACAAGTAAAAGGATTTTCTAATCATAACGTAGAATTAAACACCAAATTTTATTGAAAAATTTAATAACAAAAATCAAGAACAAAAAATCAACAAATAATTTTATAAAAACTGTATTAATCAAAATTTTCTTGATGATTTGCATCTTCATTAGTATGATCATGGTGCTCAGAATGTTCTTCATGATCTTCATGAGGTGGAATTACTTTGACATGGCCATGCTCGTCGCTTTGAGTATTATAATACTCAATGGGAACCTTTACTATGAAAGGTTTAACTGTATATGTATAAGGATATTTTATAGGTACATATACGTAATACGGAACTTTTACTTCTTTTATAATTGGAACTTCTACTTTTTTAATGACTTCATACTTTTGAACATGATGATGATGTATTGTATGAATATGTTCGGACTCATTTTTCAGTTCTTCAGTTTTACATAAAACTAAAACAAACAGTGCTAAAAAGCACGCCATCTGTTAAGTTTATAGAAAGTATAAGTTTGCAAAAAAATCAAAAATTAAAGTTTAATATTTTATTCAACAATTTTTCTTACCTTATTTAAAACTTTCATTGCTTATGAATCTCTTTACGATTTGACAATTTGTTAAAGAATGATTACAATTGTATGAATTTTTGCTATTTTATAGTTTATTTTAAAAGAGAAAATATTTCATTTCAATGTAATTAAGAAATTTTTAGAAAAGCAGAATAAATTGATTTTTGAGTTTTAAAATTATTTAATAAAGATCAACGAACATTTATGCGCGAAGTTAGCTATTGAAAATAAATTTTACAGGTAAAACTAGCACGTGGCTCATAGAATTTTCATAAACATATACATCTCAGTATTTCACATTAGTTTACATGAAAGTGATTAGAATAATAATGTGTTGTGTGGGTTCAGCAAATATATTAGCGAAGTGAAAATATATTAACTATTGCACAACAATAGTTTTTTAATTGGCGCCAATTTTAAAAACAACGTTTTAAACATTTCATTGGTCAAAACGAATTCAACAACTTTTTGGTGCCCGTTTTCCCAAGTAACTATTTTTCAAGTATGTCTTTTGAATTTTTAAAATATAAGTATGAAAAGAAGACTTATAATTTAAAGTACATTTTTAAACACATCTAACCAAGATGATTTATTTTATTGTTGATCAGAGAGAAGTGCACATTGATTTATGTATTGATAACGAATATGACATGCAATGAGCTTACTTCATCGCCAAATAAAAATCAAGTTACAGTCATCATAATTCTTTCTGCACTTTTACAGAAACATCACATAGAGATCTGACCTCCCATCGCTTTTTAAATGGCGTTTAATATACTTTTTTTTTCTTACACATTTTACTAGCTTTTATTTCTTATGTACACTCATTTTTTATTATTTTCTCGTATTTTTCTCCTTCAGTGCCCATAAATGCTTTCATAAAAAAAATAAATTTGTGTTTATTTTGATTTGCATTTTTTTTTTCATTCATTTCATCTTAAGTAGAAAATAAAAAGATTTATTACAATGACTTTTCGATATACTTAACAATATTATATATATACTCTACGGCAGTAGTGTCAGGTTTGCATGGCATGGTGCAGTGCACCACAAAAGCATTCGTGGAGGCTGCTGTCTATAAAAAATTCCTGACATTTCTTTTTTGATGGAAATAAAAATGCTTTATCACTTCAGTCGTGAGTTTGATTTCTTTTTTTTTAAAAAAAATCAACATTTATTTTTCTTTTTCAGCAAACTAAAACTTACAGTGAAGCTAGAGATATTAATGTCTTAACCGATTATTATTTTCGTTGAATTTACAGTAGAAATTTTTTTGGCAAATAAACAAGCGGAATAATCATTTTGCATGGATGTGAAGGTTGAAAATAATTTATTTTTGTTCTTAAATCAAAATTTAAATTATTTGATTTATTGTAATGAAAACAGAGATCATGTTGATTTTTTTCAAGACAGTGACACTCATTTCACCTGGATGAAAGATTCTATTGTTCCGAAAGAAACGAATAATAGATTTATTTTGTTCCGGATGAAATTTATTTGAGTGTCAATTAATTTTTAAATCTGTTGGTTGATTTTCCAGAAAATGAGCACTCAATTTCTTCAATAAAAAGAGTTACCACTTTTAAACGTATAGTTTTTAAAACTGTTAAAAAAATTGTTGCACCCCAGTTTCAATGTCTTTAAAGAGACTTATTTTTAAGGACTAGTCCTACAGATTTTATTAAAAAATCATGACATTTTCCAAAAATTTTCAATACTCTCAATAAAAAATATTTTCTTGTTTCTGATTTGATTCACTTTTAAATAAAAAGAAATGACACCATAAGTCAAGCGTGGAAGTTCTGCAAATAATTATTATTTGTAAGAAATTTCATAAAAAACAGTCAAATCTTATAATTTGTTATTTGTAATATTTGATGAAATGTTTAGAAAATTTCAATTCAAACGCATGCTCCTATACAGAAAGAGCAAATAATGAACATAAACTCTTGACACACTTTTCATGCTGGATAACCTCTACTTTTGCTTTCAATTTTTCTCATATTTTTAAACGCTCTTCTCTTCTACTCATTTTAGTTTATTTTTGTTCATAATAAAAAGATATCAAAATATACACAAGTATACAAAGAATTCAGAACTCTCTGCAATTATGCGCAAAATCCAGAGCATGATAACAAAACTGCAAACAAGTATTTTTCTACTACTGTGCGATAATTTTCCGCATGTTCTATAGAGAGCGTATATATATATATTTTTTCTTCTTTTCACTAACTGTACGCACACAGCCACACAAAGAAAATACTTTATATTGCATGACGGAAAAGCCAAAAGTAATATGAAAAGTTAACGCGGAACCGCATTGAAACGCATTTTATAAAATTTACAACAAGTCTTTTTTTACATCAACTTTTAACTTTAAATCAGTCGAAAATAATTAACGATATTCTATGATTAAAATAAATAAATTATTGTGGAAATTCCATTTAATTTGTGTTTGATCTACTATAATTTGGGAAAATCTGCGCTAAAATATTCCTTTTATACAGCACTGATGAGCTAAAAATAAGAAAGAAAAAAATTTCCTCTGCTTCACAAAATTTTCATCACCAGTTTTCCGTTTGAAGCGTTGCGTTCACAACGATTAAAACATCTCAAAATCTTTTCCATATTTATTGCTTTAAACCAGATAAAGTTGTGAATTAAAAATTGAAATTTGTGGAAAATCGATTATTACTTGTTTTAAATGTTAGTTTAAGCATCTTGTATTGAAACGTGTTAAAACAAATAAAATATTTGTAGGTATTTTAATCTGAAAAAGCTAATGAAAACTGTATAATTTATCATTGCAAATTATAAAAGCTAAATAATTATAATTAAAAAATATTGCATTACGGTGATTGCAGAAAAAAATAAGTTCGGAAAATAATGGCGGATAAAAGCAAACCTGGAGATTATTTTAATCGTCCCGAAAAGCTGGGAGCATGGGTTGGATTCAAACAATTTTTATGGAATCCTGAAACAAAGCAATTTATGGGTAGAACGAGTAGCAGTTGGGGTGAGTACTGAAAATATTTTAAATTATTCTTTCATATTTTTTTTTGGATTCAAACTTAGATGCCCAATAATAACGGAAGTTAATTACATTTTAAATTTAAAGTAAAGTATAAAATTAAAATACATAGTTATATCTTTGTATTATATAAATTTATTTTACAAGGAAAGAAAAAAAATGTTTTTAAAAATCCATTTAAAAAAACTAATTTTATGCTTGTTGAATCATTGAAAGTTTATGATCTAGACGTAATAGAAAATCTTAAATATTATATCAAATATTCATTTTATGATAGATCATTTTTAATTGCTTATTTTTTTAAATTAAAAAACTATATTCCATTTATTTGATATGAATTGCAGTATTAACATACAATTTAAATGTAGAATTCATGCGTCAAATTATATTTAGTTCTCTTGTATGTTTGCTCATAAAATTGATTTAAAATATGGACTTTGCCTTTTATATTACCTAATTATAATCCATAACGTTCTCAGTTTATTCTCAAAATTTTTGCTCATATTTTCTTACAGTATTAAAAATAGATCAACGTAAAAATTCATCGTCGCGGGAGAAAAATGTTTTCATTAATACGACCAATGTCGAGAAAATTTCTTTCATACACTCACTATGTATAAATCTTTAAACAGATAAAGGTCATGAATTGTAATAATTTTACGTCATGAATATCAATATGTTGTATATAAACTAATTTACACGACTCAAATCAGTTTCATTAGTTCCAATATTTTAAAAGAATCTTAAAAATAATTTTTATCGGATTGATAGATTAATAGATACCAAGTATTAATTTCTTATATTTTTTTTACAGCAAAAATTTTGATATTCTACATCATCTTTTACGTTATATTATCGGCATTCTTCGTAGCATTGTTTCTTATATTTACTTCAACACTGAAAGACGGTCGACCAAAATATGAATTGAAAGAAAGTTTGATTGGAGCAAATCCAGGATTAGGATTTCGTCCAATGCCTCCAGAATCAAACGTTGAAAGCACTTTGGTATGGTATGAAAAACAAAATACTGATTACTGGGTTGAGGAACTTGATAAATTTTTAAAGGGTAATACTTTTTAAATAATATTTTTAAGTAACTGAAAATTTAAATGAAATAAAAATTAATGTCGTACTATTATAAGGTTTCAATCCCAATGATGGCATATCTCGCATTGATTGCAAAAAGAAGAAGCCAGAACACGGGGAATCATGTGAAATAAATCTCAATGCATTTTCTCCTTGCACATCTGAAAGAAAATTTGGCTATCCCGAAGGACGACCATGCATATTCCTTAAGCTGAATAAGATTTACAACTGGCTTCCAGAATATTATAACAAATCATCAGAGTTGAATCAAGGAATGCCGGAGACATTAAAAAGTCACATTAAAAGCAGAGAAGGCTCAAAAAAAGATCTGAATGTTGTTTGGGTATCTTGTGAAGGTGAAAATCCAGCAGATATTGAAAACCTGGGAAACAGTATCAGTTATTACAGTTTGGGATCAGAACAAGGATTTTTGGGAAATTATTTTCCATTTATGAATAGCGATGGATATTTGCAGCCACTTGTCGCTGTTCAGTTTTCATCTGTTAAAAGTATGTATTTAATTGTATATTGAGTATAAATAATAATTTGTTTAATTCATTTCCTTTTCAGCTGGAGTTCTCATAAATATTGAGTGCAAAGCATGGTCAAAAAATATTGCTCATGATCGAAGCGATCGAAGAGGATCAGTTCATTTTGAATTGATGGTTGATGAGCCCAAGTAAGGGATATTAATGAAAATTCTTAGTTTTGGTTTAGTATGAGAACGGTCTTCATTTTTAAATAGCTTTAGCAAAATTATATTTATTAAAAAATTCTGCATATATGTGTTTGACACTATATGAGAAAACAATTTGAATCCTAGCTGAAACAAAAATCATAGCTATTTGCTTCGTATCATAAAATGAAAACACAATATTTTAAAAAATCTGTCTATCAGTCACTCTCGACAACATAGCTAATAAAAATTATTGCTATTCTAAACGTAGGATGAGTTTTTTCAAACAATCTACTCAGTCAACTCATGTTGTGAACACATTTATGCGAAACAAAATTCAATAAAAAATAAATAATAATAATATTTATGATAGAAAAATTTTCTTGTGACGGGATCAGTGTAGTTGGTTGACATTATTCGTTCTAATAGTATTTATCAATTATTAATTTATTGTAATTTTTCCGTCCTTTTTTCCATAAGCTAAAGAAATCGTTTTAAATTTTATTTTTAAAAATTTGTTAAAACTTTGAAACACGTTATATTTTATTACACAATATCCTAATTTGAAGCGATAAAGATATTATTCGATAAAATTAAATAAAACATTTATTTATTATGGTTAGATGTTTTAGGAAAATTTATAAAATTTGAAAATTTCGTTTAGAATCGAAACTTTTGAAAAAAAATATATAGATGAAAAGTTGTATGGAAAGTCGTTAATGAAAGAAATTTGAGGTAGAATAAATATATATCTTAACTTAAAAGAAAATTTTCAAAACATAGCAAAGTACCATATTATTCATGACCACTTTTCTGTAAGTACAAATCAATCAAAATTGTATAACAAATGGGTTCAACAAATATTACAAATATGAAACATATATACTGATTTTTTTTCAAATACTTATTTACTGAAAAAAATATCCAAAAGAGAAACAAACATAAATGCAACAAAAAATTCTTTAGTGGAAAAATAAATTCTAATTGCATAAAAAAATTTGAAAATTGAAAAAATTATAATCATAATTCTTAAAATAAAAATTAAGAGAAACAAAAATATTTAGAATAGAAACACCATCGAGAAGTTCAGAAAATTATTCATGTAGGTACTAAAATAAAATAAATTAATATATAATTCATTAATATTCTGAGCTTTCTTAAACAACTTTATAAATTGCATAAAAATTAAATTTCAATACTTACCTCTTTTCATGTTATCGTTCATTTTTGTCTGTCATAAGAGTAATGATGTATTGAATTTTGGTAATTTAAGAAAAGAAAAAAATAATTTATAAATTGTTCTCTTAACAGTCAAGAAAAGACATCTAAACGAATAATATAAAAAATTATGTGCCTACAAATTCTCTTATTTGAAATATTTTATTTTTTTCTTGAATTATTGAAGGTTTCATGTAGGGTCTTTAGCCCAAGCTTAACCCTTTATATCCAACTTACCATTTTCATATATTAGAGATTTTTAAAGGCTACTTGAATTTTTAATGAAATTTTGTTCGTTCGTATGTTCTTACCTTGCTGCAAAAACTCAACTCAAGTTGAAACTAATATTGATACCTTGAATTTAAAAAATTGAATATTGAATAACTTATTTGTAATATTTAATTAAAATAATCCTAAAGCTATGAGAAAAATTTAATGCCAAAAAAAGCGTTTGAATGTTCGATGCATAATATGTGACAATTCGTAATTAAAGCTCAATATAATATTATAAAAATGAAGCCTTTTTTTTGAAAAAAAAAACAATTCATAAAATTTGTTAAAGAAATTGCATCTAAAATTTTAAAGATAAAGATTAAAGGTTTTATTAAAAAATTTGGAGCTATAATAACTTTTTTGGTTTCTTTAAGAATAGGATTTTTTTTAAAGTAATGATTATAAGTTTGAAAACAATCGTAAAACATTTTAAAAATAAAAAAAAATCCCTATGAATTAGACATTTGTTTTTGAATTAATTTAAGCTCGAAAATTTAAATAGTTAAAAATACTGTCATGAAACTTCAAACTAGTGTTGCATTCTGGCCTTTTGTCTGGATCAGATAAATTCTGAGACAGAAATTTCTTCATAAAATCGATTCTACATCTAATCTATGTGTAGATTAGATTTTCTATCTACATGTAGAATCGATCTTTATGAAGAAAGTTTCTTAGCTAGACAAAAACTATTGAAGAATCTACATTCTTCATCTAGTATAGACATCTACATTTGCAACACTCTGCTTCAAACTTTATATTAAAAAATGGAACCTGCAAAACTTCAAATATTTTATACAAACCAGTAGTGTCACGAATTTTTTTTAACTGTTTAAAACAATAGATAAATAAAAAAAACGTTTACGAACCAATCACGCAATAAATTAACAATCTTTGACTAAATCTTAACAGTTGTATTGAATTTCTATATAGATTTTAATAAAAAATTCAGCTTTCTTTAAAAACAAATTGTTAGATATTAATTGTGCCTAATTTATAAAGAGCATTTCATTGAGTATACTCATAAGCATGCCTTGATCATATGTACAAGTGAGTATGCTCTTAAAAATTGTAAACACTGAACATGCTAATTCTCTGTGACGATTTAATTATGTTTGTGGGGGGAAGGTTAGAATCATGTTTTTTGAACGAGCCTAAGATTTCAATTACATAATCATAAATTCTGATTTATTCTTAATTAATCATAGGTTACAAACTAATTTTGTTTTATTGACTCACTGCAATGTTCGAGATTTGGTAATATTGATTTGCATAACAACAAGCCGACGGATTATTGTTTAATGAATTAATTTATTATTGTATGGAAATATACCTCCGAAAAAAAGGTCATAATTCGATAGTTCTTATTTTATTATAATTTTTGCATAGTCTGGCATAAATTATTGAACAAAAACAATTGACTCCATGACATTTATTATGTCTTTCTTCTTATTTTTTCTTATTCCTATTTTATGAGTTCTTTGTACTTAACTTGATTGTTTAACATAAAGAATATCATATAGACTATTGCATATAAAGAAAATAACAAAAAGTCATTAGCACCATTACTTATAAGCAACTCAATTTTTTTCATCTCATTTTGAAAACAATTGCCACTTATAATCATGACACTTAAATTAAAAATAATACTTGCTTCTATTGATTTAAATATTTCGGAATAGTAATTTAGGAAATTGCTTAAATAATACTGTTTCAATGGCAATTTTTTTGCATACACTTTTAATAAATTATATTTTCTTAAGCTTTTTTTTTATCATCAGCAAAATCGTAATCACATCGTTTAATTTTTAGAATCATTTTTATCCAAGTAAATTTTGGTATTTTAGTGGATTTGAATTTCTGCATTATGTTGCTTTGGAAGGTTTTTAACCTTGGAGAAACTTGAGAATTTCAAAAATTTTGGAGGTTATAAAATGGTTAGTGAATTATAAAAAAATTTCTTAGCTGTCATTAATGCTTCAAATCAATGTACATATTATGCAGTATTATGCTCGTAAAAACAGTAACCTTGAATCATAAAGTATCATTAATTTGTTTCCTCCCAAATTATGAATAAATAATATCAAAAGGTAGTAAAATATTAGCTTTCGAATTTACTTATAGCTCAAAGTTTTATGCCAATCCCAAAAAACAAAGTCTAGCTTTTATTCCAATCACTTAAACAATTTAATTGATAATAAGCAACAACCTGGTTTGAACTTGTTAATATACTCTTTTTATAGGGCAAACGTAACAATATTTCGATCTTTTTTCGCGGGCATCGTCATTTCAAATGTCAGAAAAATCATTAAATTTAATTATTAATTACATTTTTGAAAATGACGGGCGTCCATGCTATTGGAGCAATTTTTAGATTTTTGACAAAATCAGACCAAGCCTTTTAACAGGTATTATGCTACTATGAGAAATAAAAATATTTTAATCTACTTTCAGATTAGTGGCTATATGAGGTAATAATAATCTTCATGTAAGGTTTTCTTATTATAACTCGAATTTAAAGGCACGAAATTGATTTTTTTAAATGATTTAAGTCTACCCGTACTTGATTACTAAAAGAGATAATAAAATCTATATTATAGTGATTTACGAAAGGTACGATTCATGTGAAAGAAATCAATTAATTTATTAAAATGTGCGCTCATAAGCAAATTAGTTTTTACAGGTGCGGTATTTCAGCTTACACAGGTTAAAATAAAATAATAATTTGATTGGCATGTCTGGAGTAAATTAGATTAATCATAACTTTACTTTCAAATAAGAATGTGAGACAACAACGATTACTTTGAACTGTTTTTTTTTGAAAAAAAAAATAGTGATGTTGTTTTACTAATGCATCATAAATATTTAGTTTCATTTGCTGAAAAAAATTTTTTGCTCAAGTTTTGCAAAATAAGTTACTTTTTATAACATCCACACGCGATTCTTATCATCAGACCAATAAATCTTCATCGTGTTTGACCACACGTGCGCGACCTTCAAATTTTAAATATTAATTATTTTATAAACTTGGCATAATCGATATGTAGATATATGGATTTTGATGTATTTATTTATTTCTTAACTTAATTTTATAAAATTTTATTGAATTCCGATGCATGTGATTAAGTGATGAACCCTGTATTAATTAATAATAATAATAAAAAAAATTGTAGCATGAAATTTTTACATTTAAATATCTCCTGTTATTTATTTAAATGGAACCAATTTCTTAATCTGATAGTTGTCTTCATTAATGTTTTATTGTTGAATGGATTATTGCATAAAAATTTATTTTTTTTAATGTTTATTTCCTCGAACTAAATCTCTAAACTTGCAGAAACAATTATAATTGTTACAATACGTATATATTAGATACTGTCCTTCGCCTTTAGTGCTTAAATTGATATTCAATTTGAATACAAAAAAATAAAAATTAAACTAATTAAATATTTCTCTTTTTATTTTCGAACATTACTGAACATTACTCATTTATAGCATGAAAAATAGCAAATTGGAATCAGCTGGCAAAGGAGAAAAATAAGTTCGTGACTAAAAATATTGATAGTTCTACATTTGGAAGTTTAAATTATTGTTATTATTACGAGCTTAAATGAGTTTGCCACCAAGAGTTGGCATTGGAGTAGCATTAATTTGATCTGATTATATTTTCTCTTATTTCCTTAACAATGAAATCAGAAATGAATACGCAAGATTGTTTTGCAACCCGTAAATTTATCATTTTTTTTCAATAAACTTTAGAATTAGAAGATATTAAGTAATATTAACATCATACAAGTTATTTACGGAAGCTTTTTATCAATAAATTAAATAGCACGAACTTTAAATTATTTAATTTTATTTCACTCCTGCAAACATGTAGTAGATGCAAACTTATTAATTGTGATTAATGTTGTAATACAGGAACTTTGATTGTTCGCACACGCTTGCCATTGCTTGATAATATCTTAGCAGCCTCTAACCGGTATATGATTCATACAAATTCTACGAGCACTTGATGTGATTTTCTCGCTCTTATTTTAAAATGATACATTACCGTATATTTTGTACATATAAAGGCTTGTAAAGGTCAGCAACACTTTGTATCGAATTAAGATCTTTATGGGTTTATTTCATAAGCTAAAAATTTTTAAATGCAAATAAATCATAAATCTTTCAGCTGTACCGCGCGACAACAGAGATTGATTATTGTATAGATAATAAATCAATATAACAATGATATTTGTTTTAATAGCTTCACGCTACATACAATATTCATTAACTTTTAGAACCTACCCGGTAATTCAGTCACGATTTAGACTAATTCTTTTCCTATTCGTACCGTATATTTTAAGACCTTTTTGATACTTGAATCAGAAACACAGGAAATTTAAAACAATTGGATTAATAATTAGCACTTTTATTAAGATCATTTTACAAAAGAAAAAAGAATAGTAAATGTTAAATGTTTGGACAATAAAATTCACAGCAAATCAATGACCATTTAATTGTTTAAGTTTGTTCTGTAAAGAAGACTCAACATTTACCAAAATAGTTTTCTCGATAACTCGATATTGAACCAACATTAACTTAATTTTTGATAAATTTCCAGAGTTCAATAAAGCTATGTCATCATTTAATTGCGTAGGATACAGTTTTAATAATATTTTTACTCGAATCAATAAAGACTGGAATATCTTTATCTCGAAAGATTTTCCAAAATCGAGATTTTGTTTAAGCAAATCCTTTACATCAATCTCTTCGGCTTTTAACCAATCAGTTAATTGTTCTTCACTCATATTAAATACTCTTATAAACCCTAATAGCTCATCAGAAAGTTCAGGAGATATTTTGTAGTTTTGATGGTCATTTAATCCTATTCTTTTGAGTAAAAGCAGACGATCTTCAAAAAGAGGATCTGATTTGTTCAAATTTAATTTAACAAAAAGATCAGTGTTTGTATTTTCTTTGAAAACAAAACCGTTGTGGATCAAGAAGTCTAAATTTGATCTGTTTCCATATGCTATAGTTACTTGTTCGCCAACCTGAAAATTTTTCATGCTAAAACTTTCAATTTGATGAGTTTCATTATTAAATTGGGTGTTGATGTCACCATTTGTATGATTAGCCATGTCCCATGCTGGTATCAAAACTGATTCATTTATGTCATCATTTTTCGGTATTATATTCTGTCGTGTCATTACACAGCTTACGGCCCAGCGATAAAACTCATATGTAAAATTATCTCTTAATTCTTCCATGACTGAATCATTTTCATTTGTTGCTACCATTATGTATTTATAAAGGAAAGCATATTGAGCGATAATATATTTGACTTGTTTAAGTGCTGATGTAAATGCTAAAGTTCCTTGTAGTTCCTTCATTTCAGTAGGTGTATAGTATAGAACAGTGCTAAACTTATTGGGTAAAACATCAAAATATGGTTTGAATTTACTTTGACTATTCATGCGTTCAATCATTAAAGCGAGAGCTAACTTAACATTAGACATATTTTCAGAAAGTGGACAATCAGAAAATATTTTTTGTTTCAATACGTCTGGTATACTATTTTCAATTTTGCTGTAAGAGAAAATCATGTTGTCAGGAATTACGATGAAAATTTCTCCTTCCTTAAGGCTCTTTTTTGAAACCTTAAAAAATATAACTTAATTTTAAAAAAAATATGTGCTTAACGAATTTTAAAATAGAAAATCTACCAATCCAAGTCCATAATCTGGGATATTTTTGAGTTCAATCTTGTCAAATTTAGCACCTTCATTCGCACACCAGTCGATAAAATTTTCTATCGTCTTTTCTGAACGAGATGATTTAAATGGCAATTTAACTTCACTTTCAACTTTTATGATTCGCTCCAATAAATTGTAAATTTCATTATAAATCTCGAATTCATGATTTGGATCATTGGACATTTCTCGAGATTTTAATAGAATTGCATCAGACAAGATCTTTAATTCATTCCTCTTGTTTTGAGATAATTTTCCTCGCGATTTCTCATTTTTCTTACCCATGTTTTATTTTTTTACTAAAAAAGGAGTAAATTTAAAGAATGAACATTTCTTTTTAATTGATGAATGAAACTTTTAAATAAGTAATAATGTTTCAAATATTTAAATTTATGCAAAAATTTGGACAAAAGACAACAGAAATGTTTATGTACTTACTTATTTTTATTTTTAAGACCTGTTATCCGCAGATGTGCACTTATTTTTGGAATCGTAGGGGGAAAGCAACTTAGGTAAATTGAGATATAAAAACCAATTTATTTTCTTTTCACTTTTCTATCCATTTGAATTTTATTCATGTTAAGAATAATGATATGTTACTAAGTAACGATTTTGAGTATTTATTTTTGCACATGCTTTTAAATTTAAATCTTAGGTGCAAATTTTTGTGCGTAATGCTAGAAATCACAAACATCGCTACTAATTACTGATAAATAAAATTAATAATTTTAAACTTCAACTAAAATATTTGTGTATAAATCTAATGACTTTAAGCCAATTTCTCGAAAAACCAGAGAATTTAAGCCGTCTGTATCAAAACGAAGATATCCACTTCGTAGAAACTGATATCGTTCTGGACTAGGTATTTCTTTACTATGCTTCAGCATTGTATATTGAGCGATGGATGGATTGAACCTAATTATTTTGTATTTTTTATTAACAAGTCTTGCATAAATATCATCATCTTCTCCTCCCTGAAAAAAAAATGAACATAGGTAAATAATAGTAAAATAAGCAAATAATCCAAATTGTGTATACCCATCCTTGGAACATATTTGAAAATCCATTTATATGAATAAAAGTATCTGAAGTCATTGCAATAGCACCTCCAAATAATCCGTAGTAAGGCAAATTAAAACGAAATGAATCAAGTGCTGAACTCATGTGCCGAGGTCTTTCCGTACATGCATAAATATTTCCCAATTTTAAAGGCATCAAATCAACGTCCTGCATTATCAGACATGGAAAGTTTTCTCGAAGTGCATACGATGCACCAATATTAAATAGTTTTGCTCTATTAAAGGCTTTTGAATCTGCCTGCTCGACAATAAAGATTTTATAATGGATTTGTTGTTTCCTCAAATACTGAACATATTAAATAGGTAATTAATGAGAAATTGTCCACTTTTTACACAAATCGATCTTACATTATGCATATACCGAAGAAATAATTTCAATTGATTGGCACGATTCCGGTAAGGAACAATAATAGCCACAGAAAATAAGGTGTTGCAATTGTCAGGCCAATATTCGCCTTACATAAAAGAAAATAGAACTAATTAATACATTGTCATTAGGTACGTACGTAAATGAAATAATTTACCTCCTTGCTTTATTTCAGCTTCATTAAGAAGTTCTGACGAAAAAGGATCTTTATAGAAGAACTGGTTTTTCTCAAATAGTTCATAATAATTCTTTTTTAAAAAAATAGAGGGTAATGCAATTGTCAAAAAACTTTAATTAATAATCTTATATGTAGTACTTACACAGTTAATTTTATCAATAATATTAGAATTCCTAGATGTCTTTTTTAACAAGTTATCAAAAATATCGTCATGTTTCAAGTTCTCATAATAAACCATAGCAAATCTTGATGGCCATATAAAATACAGAAATAATGCTAAATAGAGCACATGATACTTATTAATTTGTAACAATATTTGGTTCTTTAATCGCATTTTAATTGAAAAGGAAAAAAATTAAATTAAACGGATAATATTCTTTACTAGGTACGCGGTTAATTGAATTATTTTTTAAGTTAAATTTAAAAGGAACCGATAATAGATTTGTAGCACAAACAATTTTTTTCTGACCCCCTATCAGCTTTACTTTTTAAGCAAACGATCCATAAAATTAACGACTTTTAATATTTTAAATATTTTATCCCAAAAACTATCCACAAAATTTGTTTATCCACAAAAAACAATAAAACAAGAAACACAAAAAAAAATAAAATATAAACAATTTAATTGAAAATTTAAGGAACGACAATCTTTTAATACGCTATAAAACAAACAGATACTTTAATAATAATGGCAAGCACTTCAAGGTGTGTAAAAATAATTCATTTGTTTGCTCAAAATGACTTAAAACTGAAAACTATTTGTTTTTTTTTTTTTAAACAAATTTTAATTTATTTCAATTTATTATTTACAGTTTCAAGGATCGTGTGGTCTGTATTCATCATCCAGATGCTCCTTTGATTGAAGATTATCGTGCTGGTGATATGATTTGCTCCGAATGTGGTTTAATTGTTGGTGATAGGTGAATATTTTTTCTTTTCAATTATACGATTTAATCAATTTAAATCTTTCGAGTTTAGTCGAACAAAATTTCACAATATGTCCATTAAGCCTTTAAGAATTCGAAAGTTGCTAATGATAAAAACACTTCCTTTAAACTGGATCTTAAAAGTCTTTTAAGTGAGATTATCAAACGATTTTCAATCAAATTCTTCAATTTTCAGAGTTATAGATGTTGGATCTGAATGGAGAACTTTTAGCAACGAAAAGAATTCTATAGATCCATCACGTGTTGGCGGTAATGTAATGCATTGCTTTATTAAAAACTTAAAATAATTATGAAATTTACTTTTATAGGTCCTGAAAATCCTTTACTAAGCGGTGGAGATCTGTCGACAATTATTGGGCCCGGAACAGGAAGTGCTTCATTTGACTCATTTGGAAGTATGTGTTTCTGAAGAAATTTAAACTTAAGATATTTTAATAATGATTTAAAATTGCTTTAAAGCTGCAAAATATCAAAATAGGCGAACAATGAGTAGTTCAGACCGTGCCTTAATAACAGCATTCAAAGAAATAAGTTCGATGGCAGATCGCATTAATCTACCAAAGACTATCGTTGATAGAGCTAATAATCTATTCAAACAAGTACATGATGGAAAAAGCTTGAAAGGCAGATCAAACGACGCAAAAGCATCTGCTTGCCTGTATATTGCCTGTCGACAAGAAGGTGTCCCAAGAACGTTTAAAGAGATTTGCGCCATTAGTCGTGTAAGCAAAAAGGAAATAGGCAGATGTTTTAAATTAACATTAAAGGCTTTGGCAACTTCAGTGGATCTCATTACAACTGCAGATTTTATGTCACGTTTCTGTGCAAACTTAGTTCTACCAAATTATGTTCAACGAGCAGCTACTCATATTGCGAGAAAAGCAGTCGAAATGGATATCGTTGCTGGACGATCTCCTATTTCTGTTGCAGCTGCTGCAATTTATATGGCATCACAAGTAATTTCAAAAAGTTTTATTTTTTTATTAATGAACTGCTTGCTAATCATTCTTTTTTAAGGCTTCGGAAATGAAGAAAACTCATAAAGAGATTGGAGATATTGCTGGTGTTGCTGAAGCTACAATTCGTCAATCATATAAACTAATGTATAGTCATGCAAAAGGATTATTTCCAGACGACTTTCCTTTTGCAACACCAATCGAACAACTTCCACTGTTGTAAACAATTTATCGTTTTGATTTTTTTACGTTTTATTTGATACTTTATATTGCCTATTTTATAATGAAAAGTTATTTTTAAGAATGTAAAGGAATTTAACGTTAATAAAAATAATATTCTCAAACTCGACAAAAAGTTCTTCGTATTATGGTTGTCACAAATTTCAGAATTTATTAATTATATAATTTTTTTTTCATCTATTTACAAGAAGATTAATTTTATATTTATTGTTCTCTTTTTAATTTCTTGATGACAATCGCTTCAGTTTATATTCAGTATACTTAATTAGAAAATTTTTTTCTCGTAACTTTAAAACGAAATATTACGTGAATATGAATTTAAAGCTGCTCATTTTTTCTAGATTCTATTTACTAATTCGGTACTTTTTAATTTTGATTAAAAATATTAATTATTTTGAAATAAAATATCGTCCAGAAAAATTATTACTTTGAAATGTCCTTAATCTTCAAATTAAGACTTCCTACATCTTAAAAGCAAATGAACAACTTTAATTTTTTTTTAAACTAATAGGATAAAATAATTATAATATATAGATTTGATTAAGTCTCAAAGATGATAGTCACGTATTTGAAAAAAAAACTGAGGCTTGCATTTCAAATTTTATCAAAACAATTGTACAAAACTGTAATTAGTAAACGGAATTCGCAGTGATGCATATGAATATACTGATCACATTTATACATTATCTTATTATTTATTTCAACCGTTGTAACGATCCATCGACTCGTTTTTTTTTGTTAGAAAAGTATGAAAAATTTCAAGTATGAGTTTGTCGTTTAGAAAATGCTTTTACTGAGCTTTGTAATAGTTTTAAATAAATGTAAATCAAAAAATATACCTCAATCTAAAAATCCCTAAAATGCAGATAGTACTGCCAAAATGCAGATGGTACTGCTAAAGTGCAGATGAAATTTATTTTCCCTAAAATGCAAATAAAATGCTGTTGCTTTAAAAAAAGGTATAATGCAGATGATTTTTATCGTATAAAATGCAGATGAGATGCAGGCCAAATGTAGATCGTATAATTTTATTAAAATAAAGATAAAATACTGGCACAATGTAGATAATTTAACGTTGGATATTAATTATTTGGGCCCCGACGAAAAAAAATTATTCTTGAGTGACCCTATGGTTTATTTTATACCTCCGAAACCACAATAGTGACAAATTTCAAAGTTATTTTTTCTTGTAGAAAACAAAAATCGCTTTCTTTTGACATAGAACTCACTTCCTAAAGTTAAGGAGTTAAATCGGAAAATCACATTAATTAAGCGTCACTTACGAATAATTTTTGTAAATTTTGTTATAACTTTGTCAACTTTCATTGATATATCTACAAATGTCTTTTTTATATTCACACCGTTTTCACGTGTGAATCTATTGATTATGTCCCAGTGCAAAAATCAGAGCTGACTTGCTAGCTTTATACCTTCAAACATATGCTGAGCAAAGCTCAGCTGACTCGCTAGTTTTATACCTTTAAATTAATACTGAGCTAAGCTTGCTACACGAAATTTCGATGTAAATAGTCGACATGTAACATTTTTGCAAGATATAAAGATGAGCTCATACATAAGAAGAGAGAAGAATCAAATGATCATCATGGATCATTTAAAGTCATTAACACGAACCAAGAAAAAAGTCATCAAATATTGATGTATTTTAATAAAATTATACGATCGACATTTAGGCAGCATCTAATCTGCACTTTATACGATAAAAATCATCTGCATTATACCTTTTTAAAACCAACAGCATTTCATCTGCATTTTAGGGAAAATAAATTTCATCTGCACCTTAGCAGTACCAATGGCATCTTGGCAGTACTATCTGCATTTTAGGGATTTTTAGATTGAGGTGAATGTACTCCTGAATGTTAATTTTATAAGTGTAAATCTGTTGTTTTGTTTAATAAATTTTTCAAACATATTGCTATTGCTTGAAATGAAGTAAGGTCCAAAAATATTTTTATATCATAATTTCTTATGTAAAAAATTATAAAATTGCGTCAAGTTCGTAAACATGTGGCCTTTAGAGATTCAGTATGAATAAATTCTTAATTAAATGCACTCCCGACAATTACCATCAAGGTTAATATCTGATTCCTTTCTTTTTGATTAGTTAAATAGATAGATTATACGATAATTTCATTATTTTATTCTTTTGATGTGGATCCTTTAATGTTTTTATTATGGGTCATTTACTTATTACGTACGGGAGGGAGAGGGTAGAAGAGATTTAAACAATAGTTCGTCAATATATTATGTAATAAATAAACGACCCGAATGAAGTATGCCAAACTAATGACTAGAATTTTCGTGATAATGATTAAGTGCAATATAGTAGATAATTATTGATTAGAAAATTATTGTTTGAGAATGTCTGATTCATGTTTAGTAGATAATTTATCAGCCATCATTCCCAAAACCTGCTCAAATTTATTGTGTCGTTCTTCAGTCGATACTTGAGCTCCTTTACTCCCCCACAGAAATTTGATATGAAACTCGGTTCTAAAAATTAGCAATTAATTAAAATCCATAGTTTTAAGAAGCAATAAAATTATGTATTTTACCGAAATGCATCTTCCAATAGTGTATCGACGCGACTGTGCTCGCTCATGACAATTTTAGCATTTTGTCTATAAAGTGGTAGATTATTACCAAATCCTCGAGCTGCATCAAGATGAGAAAATAAAATAGAAAATCCAAAATCTTGAGTAGTTGTTTCAAATGGTGTGATACAGGCTTTAACCAAAGAAGATTGAGGAATTGTAGTATCTATGGAGAATAAATCATTGATTATTTTCTGCAATTTTATTTGCCACGAAAGGATAATTAATTTTACCAAGCAAATCATCAATCGTGCGATCTTTTACTAAAATATATGGAAGAACATGAGGAATAGTTGTATTTGGTGCTTGAGGATTCGAGCAATCATTCATGCTTTTTAATATCGGCCGCAATTTAGCTTCAAAATTGAATGCACTGTCAGTAAACCTTTGTCGAAGTAAATACCAAGTTCCCTCTAGTTTTTGAATTTGTGGCATACATAAGCCAAGCATGATTGTACTGAATGCAAACAAATTTCCTACTGCTGTTTTTGCATCAATGGCAATTTGAATCCATTTATTTAAAATTTCAGCTCGTTCTTCATCTGTTGGGCATGTCAGAATTGTAACAGCCACTAGTAATTTCAGGCACTGTGTCCTCTCAATTAAATCTCGTCGAAACTGTTTTCCATGCTCAAACATTATTTTTTCTAATCCTGAGTTTTCTAGTGGACTTTTATGTCTTAATTCTTCGAGGTTTCCTATAAAGAAAAGTTATTTTTGGCTATAAGCATGTATTAACCCAATTTAAAATATTTCTCACCTAAGATAAGTTTTATATCCACTCGAGTGATTGTGAGTGCTATGATTCTTGGGCTTGTTTCACTTATCATCATTCGAAAAGTTGTTAAAGTTCCGCTGTCCAGAGGTCTGAAATCGCTACATGGTAGTAAGACAGTATGAAAATTGTCTACATCAAAATGAGATATCTGTTCTATGTATGGAATTTCCATTGATCTCAAAGCTTCTTCTGCCGCAATCGGATCAATGTCAGCAAAACTTTTTAAAGTTATTGATGACATAGAATTTGGCATAAAACGAGGATTTTTTATAATAACTCCACTGCATCGATTTTGCAAAATTTCTTCACCAGTTGGTAAACTTTGAGCAGAGTCTCCACTTCCATTTCCAGAATCGGAACCACTAGCGTGATATGAAGCTACTCGATGTACAGGATCATCCTTTCCTCTATCTTTTACTGGTTTTGGAGGAGGTACTTCTTCATTTGGTACTTTTGTGAGCGATGTATCTCGACTTAAACTAGATGCTCTTGGTGGAATTTGTCGTGCATTATTTGTGATTTGATTACGAGGAAGTGAATTACTTGTAAATCTCAAATCTTTTACAATATTTCCTGTAGATTTTGAAATTAAATTATTTATGTTGATCACCCCATCAGCACTATGTTGGTCAGATGTCATTGTCATTTGTATGTTTGGCTCATGATTCTCATCGCTATTATTTAATATTTCATTCGTACTTGAACAATTTTCAAGCAACATTTTACTTGTGTCATTATATGAAATTAAATCTCCGTTATGAGTGGCAATATCACCAGTGTTTTGACTATCAATTGTCATGTTGCGTTGAATTTGTAACTGAGATGGCGTTAATGATTGAGACCTTTGCTTTTTAGATGGTAGACGAGGTGGTATATCACGTTTAATTCGCGGTGGCGATGACATTGGACTGCGATATGTATTTGTTTGATTAAATCGTGATGCTGAACTAGGTAGCGGAGAAGTTAAACTACTTCCAAGACTTGAATTGCTTGAACTATATGGTATACCAAACTTACTGGCATAATATGACAAAGGACATAAACGATTACATGGAAACTGTATACGAGCACCTTAAAAAAATTCCAAATTAGTTTTTAAATTACGTCTATGTCACTGTGAAACTATACCTGATGCAGCTGAGATTGCTTTTCCAGAACCAACATAAAATGTTATCAAATCTGGTACAGTATCAAAGGGTTCATCTTCGAACTGATATTGAATCCTGATAAATTCAATTAAAAAATATATAATATTTTAACAAACAAAACATTTTTTTACCTTTCATAAACAGTTTCTGGTTGAAGAACAAGCTAAAATTAATAATTTTTTTTGTAACATTAAATGTGAGGAAATTTTAATATTTATTTTTCACTTACCTTATTAATAACAAAATGTAGTGTCTGTTGTTTTCCTTTACATGAAAGAACATAGTTTCCAGGCTGTGATACACAATCTCGAACTAAAAAATCTCCCTCAATTTTAAGTATATCTTCTGCTCGTTGTCTTGATATTGGACCATGGTACCATGCGTGTGATCTCAAATCCCTTGAATCTAGTGCAAGTTCCCATTCTAATGCTTTCTTTAAAGCTATTGCATCTTGTGATATTTCAAGTAAAGGCGAAGAGCATTCCTTGAAAATTAGAG